TTTTATATAAGGCCAGTGGGCTGCCTCATGACCCATCCGGTCCAGCCCTGCTTTCCTCCCCAAGGACCTTGTGGTTCAACTAGTCATTCCTTAAGTGAGGCTCATTACTTGGAAAGTGGTTCTACTGTTGAAGGTCAATCCGTGCATTGAACTTAGGTAGCAATACAACATGTGCTATTGTAACATGGTGATAATACACATTGCAAGTAGGCAGTGTTATTCTACGTGGAGTGTTAATCAAATCAGGGGATAATAACCCTCACTATCCAGGGTCGATTAATCCAAGGGACAATAACCCTTACAGGAGGAACCCTTAGAGCTCCCAGCATATGTCCGGATCACAACCCGGCCGTCACCTCCACCTTCGGTGTTTACAGACGGCAAGCAATCCACACCGAATCACCGTGGCACTAGCTCTCAGCCAAAGATTGACAACCTAGGCTCCAGACTGTTCCCTACGGAAGCGTATGAGGGCCACTTGCAAAAAAAAATTGAGATAGTTACTCGTCGCAGCAGTTATTCATCTCGCTGTGACGAGTTAGCTAAAACTAGCTCAACTCGCTGCATATTAAGAATCAGTCTGGATACCAAACCCAATGATTCCGACTACTCTTTTAATCAAGGGTCCTGTATCGCCCAATGTCCACATGACCAACGTTCCCCCTAATTTCCAAAAAATAGGGCTGTGGTGGCTCGCTTTTACAATCTGTCCCTTAACTGTCGCCACCACAGCCCTACTTCAAGGCATGTCTTAAATGCCTGAAATCCAAACTGCAGGATTTTCATAAACTTTGAATCCTGAAATCTTCCGAAATAAGAACGACTCGACAATTTTACTTATACATGCATATTTCTCAGAGTTTGGACTTTCATACCGGCACCCTTAAGCTTTCCAAAATCATAAATTTTCCGATGAATGGCGTCTCGAAAAACCCAGCCTGTACTGTTAAATGCCGATCACGGGCGCCGCCATTTTGAGAAACGAAGGTAGCGTTTCATGAGGGGCTAACCCCCATATAATTGAAACGGTCCTCTGGCCATAGTCTTGAATTTCCAGTGAAAAAACGCGGCACTTTTTCGGTCTGATTTTGCATTGTTTTCTATGTGCTCGTATTTGGTGTTGTGCAACCATTGATTTCCATTATAAAGACTGAATAGGTCATCGCCCATCATGTGTGTACAAAATGTGCTGCACAATGGCGGCGCGCTGCGTTTCAGGAGGGAAATATGATGCTGTAGGGTGCGCATTTAGTCAAAATTGATTACGGAGAAGAATATCACTTCTCGAATTAACAGACCATTTTCTTATTAAATAACCCACTTGGAACTGATAATAATTAACCTGTTTTTCTGTTTAGTGTTTTGTTTTTTCTTCATTTTTTACACCTCTTGTATAAGGACTTGCTCGGGCAATGTTGTTACTTTGGGTTGGTTCAATCGTGATTTGTTGAGTGTGTGAACATTAAGGTTCCACCAACACCCACAGTAGGTTTTACCTTATAATGTCCCAGCTGTCCACGTGTTTTTCCGTCTGGTGTCAATGAGTCAACACTGAAAAACTTCATCAATCTTTTCTGTGCGCACAAAATGAGCAGAACTTTGACTGCGAGCCAAACTAATTAAGTTTGTGCCACTTTAATTTCACCACAGACACTTATAAATCAAATTTAAAAAAAAAAAGAGTTCCCAACTTGACTAAGGATTTACATTTAACAGCGACTTTCTGAAAAGAAAAAGGTCAATGTTAAGTGAGAACGAATAACTTTATAATTTAGACAAAGTTTCTTTCATTGCGTTGATTGAATTTCCTTGTTTGTTACTTCACTCGACGAAAACGTCAGCTCTCTGTCGCTCGCTCTAGTTTCATCTCTGCCCTGAAGATGGATATTCCGTCACATATCACATCGTCAGTCACACAGTTTGGGTTCAAATGCGTCTGCAGATCTCACATCCACAAATCATGGCTTTCTTCGAGATTTTTCCAGTGAAATCATGGGAAAATAAAAGACAAATTAATCATTCAGTTTTTAAAACCACTTTTGCCAATAAACAATATTTCGGACAGTCCAAAGCATTATAGCACAAGGCGTGCAGAAATCTTCTGAATGTGCTGAATGTGCGACTCACATGTCAAAAGCTGCTCCTTCTTCCAAACTTGATTTTACCATCGATCTCCGGCAATTCTCTGCTGTGCACACCTCAACCGTTATTCTTTCCAAATTTATCCATTCCGGTGGCAGAATTCAGTTTTTCTTTGAAATCTGATGATTGAAGTACAATAACCTCAACCAGCAATTTTAAAATATCCGTTTGAAATTGCACGCAACAAAATTCGCAACGCTTGTTATTTACCCTCCTGAAAATATGCACACGCGGGACGCGTATTGGACGCAATTGTCCTATCCAGTCTTTATAATGGAGATCAATGGGTGTAACCCTATGCACGCACATTTTTCCCAAGACTTGTGACATACGCCCTCTATTGACATTAGTAATTACAAGCCATTTTTAGAAACAGTCAGGCACGTCGGCACGATACGACGACACGACGTCACAGCACGACACGACGCGACGGCAAGACATCAGGACGCGACAGCACGACTGCAGGACGCGATGGCCTAACCCACACTGCATAAAAACCATACAATGACAGGCGGCACGACGCGACATAACGACGGCACGATACGACGGGTCGGCGGCACGACGCGACGCCACAATGCGACAGTACGACAAGTCAGCAAGACAGCAGGACACGACGCGACGGCACGACGTAATGCATTATACGCAGCATAAAGTAATGAGAAAGGAGGCAACGCCACGACACGACGGCACGACGCGACAGAGCTGTCGTAGCGTTCGGCACTTTCCCTGGGGCGTTTTTGTGTGTACGAATAATTAAAAATAATAGTTAACCCCCCAAAAAATTTAAAAGAAATTGAAAGATTAAGGATTAAACAGTAATTTAATTTTTGTTTGAGAAACCCCGGGGATGTTGGCTTGTATGTTACATGTGTATTTTAGCCCTTGGCCCTGAAGAATGTTGAGTTTACACTATTTCAATAGGTCTTGAAAGAGTGGACTGCACCCTGTATGTCATGGAGATACGCGGCTCTGTCCGTCAAGTGGAATGGTCCCCGTCCCTATTATCTTATTCCAAATCAGTGGTTATGTCGTTATATTTTAGATAAATAAACAATTTATGGTGAAGTTATTTTCTGTAACGAAGAAGAAAAGGCAAAATATTTTATCAGCCCCTGCTTGATTTGTGCATTGAGCGGGCTTCTGCCGGTTTCATTGGCCGCTACATGTCCCTATGTTCTTGTGCCCCCTGCTATTTAATGTTTACACCAACGCCAGCCCATTCACCCAAACACCACAAGCTTCCGCTGTGCATGCAAACGACCTTTGAAGAAGTAGGGGAAACCCTCACCGCCGCTCTAGACGGTCTCACCTGCGAACTATCTTCGCCCAAATCCAGACAAGACCCAGTTAAGCGCCTTTCACATCAAGAACCGTTAAGCAAACCGACAACTGGATGTCCAATGGTACGGAAAATGGCGAGAGCAGGCATTCCGAAATTTGTATCCTTGTGAAGACAAGATGGTGCCCAGTGGAGACCCAGAAGAATGGGTCTCCCAAAGGATTTCACAAAACTGATATTTGGAAATTGCTCAAAAAGGAGAAATTTTTAATGTGTAAGAATCGGTCGCAAATTGAAGTGTTTCACATAAAGGACATTCGGTCGAAATTTCAGCCCAGGAGTGATTCCTGTTGAAATGGGAGCTTTTTGAAAACATTGATCCACACGCAACTGAATTAGTACACACAAGCCTGTCAACCTTGGTGTCACACTGGACTGCACGCTGTCTTACAAAGATCACATCGTCAACATAAAGGCAAAGATTGGTGCAAGGAACAGCATCCGTTAAGAGGCTTACCAACTCTAAATGTAGAAAAACTGCCATCGCCCTCTGCTTCTTTGTTGCTGAGTATGCATATCCAGTCTGGTGCAGATCAGCCTACGCCTCAATGTAGAAAACTGCCATCGCCCTCTGCTTCTCCGTTGCTGAGTATGCATATCCAGTCTGGTGCAGATCAGCCTACGCCTCAATGTAGAAAACTGCCA